TAACAATTGCTGTTAGCAAGTACAATAAAGCACTATTTGCATTTGCTTGAGCGCTAAATGTTATAGTGCTATGCCGATTGAGACGTGATAGCATAGAGCTTGTGCACTTTTTGTGCTGAAAAAGTTGTACTTGTAATTTATTTGTCGACATAATTTCATTTAAGAGCGATACAGCTTTTATTGTAAGGAATCACATTCTTTATATACTTTCGGCATATCACTAAATCCATTCATACCYCATAATAGAGCTCTGTGTCATTCTCAAAGTAGGCAATTTAGATTTAGTTTGTACATGTACGAGTACATCACAGAAAACGGACATTACCTTTATTGAAGCACATAAAGTGCATTCGGGCCGATAGGCTGGAATAGTTTTCGTCTTCATCGGGGCAGATTTGGTTGGAGATGTCTACTATTTCGGCTTATATTTAGAGTCTGTTGTAAACGTTCCTAGAGGCACGTACAGAATCGCATACCGATATTACTTTTTTAAATTTTTTTAAATTCTCAGTCACATCCGTTTCACAATCCTTCACAGTAGAACTACAACCTTGATTCGTTCAATTTAGATAATAGCTGCCTGTGCAATTTACTACCCAATCTTAAATTTCTCTTAACATCGTGCATTGAGAATAAGCACCCATTGAACCCAGTTCCTGTGTATATAATAAAATATTTAAGCTCTTTTAGTAAACTTAGACCACCACTGAAAATTAATACTTTTCACCGAACATCGAAACTGTGGTTAGGATATGGCTACACGTTGGCAGATARCGAATCAAGTAAATAGTATATAGTATTAAGCCTTACACACTTATTTGCAGATGTAGTCATCATTATGAGTGCCGAAAAGTGGCTTATAACGTTGTTTGGTTTTCATAACTTTCGTTGAATTTTTTTAAAAACATACAAACAATATGCACAATAATGTACTCCAAAGACCACAATTGAAATCAAAAGTCCGTAGCACACTTTAGTCTGGTGTGTGAAACAAATGGGAAATGAAAGCGAATTCAAGAGAGGTATAACTCTTTGGAATATTGTCGGGTATTTGGCCGGATTTTCAACCGTAGAGCCAACTCCCGTGGGAACGGTGACAAGAAATGGCACTATAACGCTACGAATATTATTTTTTACAGTCGTTTCGAGATTACCTGCGGAGACAAGCCACTTTACATAACCCCACAGAAAATAGTTCAGCGGTGTTAAGTCGCTTGTTCTTGCATCTTTCCTTCAATAAAAAATGTTTTCTTTAGCTGTTTGGCAAGTCACGCTGACTTATTGGAACGGTTTTCCACATCAACATTCTCTAATCTGTACCCTTATGACCGCCTTCATCTTCAAGACATATGGACCAATGATTCCCTTTGCCCATACACCAGATCAAACAGTGATTTTTGAGCATCAGTGTTCATCTCGAGTGCGACAGGTTTGATGGTCGTTCGGCTGCAATTCTTGCACGAGTGGGACTTCGTAAATCCACAAAGTACAATCCTTCTGCAAAACCTTTCGATGGTATATAAATGCAATCGGATTCTATTCGATACTCTACTTTACAGCAGCAAAAGCATCATTGGTGGAAACTGTACGACGTATCTGGAAATACGTTTTATTCACTAGGGTAAACCTGGCGCGAAACCGATCCATAGTTGCTCGAATTATGGACTTTGCTTGACGATTTTGTAGAACCAATATTGGACGCGTTTCCACCCATTATTTAGGTGATAAATTTGGAGATTTTCAAGCGTTGTCCTAGAGTAAATCGATTCTATATGAAATATCAAACTAAGCCGAGTATTAATCAAGTAACAGTTAACAAAATTACCAACTACGAAAAAAGTTTTGCCTCATTGAAAACCACACAGTGAAAGAGAACTTTTTAATTCCAATTATGCTTTTAGTAAAAATTATACTAGTTTTTAAAACGTAATAAACATGTTTGAATATTAATTAATATTTAAAAATATCATTAAGTAAGAACATAAAATCAAAAATTTTTAAATAATATGTAAAACTAATTTTATACTAACTTATAAAAGAACGTTCACCGTAAACCCCCATCATCACACCGAATTCAACAAAATCCAGCTAAGCGACTGCATTTTCTGAGCTTACTGTTGTGGACACAGATACTTTGCTACGGCACATTTTATTGCGACCATTATGGGAAGTGAGAACAAAAGATTAACGGCATAAATAAYGAAAAAAGGCAACGCTAAATGTGTTATTATCGCGTTATTATCCGGCTGTTGTTGGCCGCAATGGCTTAGCGTGAAARCCGCGCCGGGTTATGCCAGACTTTTCCGTGGACTTGGCGCTTTTTATTTGTAACGCGTGTTCAGAGCTACTGCGGTCTGCTCTAGCGTAAACTATAATAGCTTATCAAATATGAATAACAATCTTTTGTTGCTTTGTGTTGTATGGCATTTATGCACTTCAGCTCTGAGCAATTACATGGCAGGGAAATTAAGCATGCCAAGTGATAGTTTGACAAGAGTTAAACCTCTTTAGATGAAAGTGGAAATCAAGATTGAGATATATTTTTGTATTCAATTAAGTTTTATATTATATTCTCGCCCAAAATAGATAAAAGTTTTAGAAAACTTGACCAACCTCCATAWACGGTTTATTAGCCTGTGGCCTTTTATTGTATATAGTATTATCAAAAATTAACTAAGCCAGGTCAATTCTATCTTCTGTAGACTTATGTAAGGTCTCAAAAGTTTCGTATAATATTGCATGTARTTTTATGCCAAAAATATGGGAAATTGTGTACGAGTTAGCCGAATTCCCATACCGTATTACATATAATTATTTTCTTTACTCTAACAAACCATTTGTCAAAAATTGCAGCCGGTGGATGAGTTATATATATAATTACTGCGCTTACCTCTGGTTCAAGGTAATAGGTAGTTAAAATGGTAAATAGGTAGTTAACATGCAATTTACTGAGTATTCATTCAGGTAATTTATAAATTTTGTATTTGTTATAAACCTGGTGTACTGTACAAAAACTCAGTACATTTGATGTATAACTTTTAAATCGGTTTTGTTAGATTATTGTGTTGTTTTGATTGTTATGTTGTTTTGTTAGATTATTCTGGTCYAGTGCAGTTTTGCTGCCTAGAAATAAGATCTTTTTTGAATACATTTCTACTCACAATTCATGAAACTCTTAATAGTTTAATTGCTCACCAAAATTATTTAAATTATGTGCAAATTATCCAAATTATCTGCAAATGATTCCAAATTATTGGGAATATAATCAAAATGGATATTCCTATTGTCTCTTAGAATCCTAAGGTTTGTCAGCATATTTTGGACAATTTGCTCATAATTACCAAGAAAAATTTCGACTATCAACACTAAACTTTTCCGAACTACGCTTTACGGAACAGTCATTACTTTAATGACCACTAAAGGGTCCACCATTCAGCTTTTCTATACTAAGTTCGGAAACTTTCTACAAATGTTACTAAAGCAATATGCTTCTACGCGTAATGCTTTGAAAAATTGTGTTATCATTCCTAACTTCACGTATTAGATCCCTCGGGAACTATGACGAAAATTACTTTGGTGTAGAGGTCTCATCCGCTTATTCACATCAGTTGGTAGACTTTACTAATATCTGGGTATTTCRCTACATCATTGTATCTGAGAAGTATATGAATGCAAATTACTTTTGAAACGAAAGTGAAATTTCCATTTCCTCGATATTTCCACTTTTTAGTTTTAATACAACCTTAAATCTTTCTACCTAATTTTTCGCATGACGTTTGCACGTCCAGAAAAGGTGCGAAGAATAGTAAACCTATTCTTTTGTAAGAACGATATTTATCAAAATATTGGATGAACGATTATTTAAAAAAGAAGAGCACATCCAATCWTTGCAAGAATAAGGACGCAATCAGTATACTTGAGAGAATCAGAACTTGCGGTTTAAATTGAAAATAAAGACCTTCTTTACGTTCGATGCTTTTTAGTGCAAAAAACTAAAGTTCTTAAAGTTTGCTTTTGCATTAAAAAAGCATATCAACACTGGCTAACAATCGACACCCTAATGTAAATCCACATATGCAATTATATTTTATTTCTAATAAAGTGTGTAAWGTAATTATWTTAATTGAAAGCAAATTATTTATTTATTTGCTGCATTAATTTCGAAAATAAATAAGCTAAATGGAMAACCACCAATGGTAATTGCGAAATATTTGTATATTTGTATTTAGATTTCATAAACTTGTTCATTGTAAAATCGATTATTAATGCATAAGCACTGACAATGTCTAAACAGATTTATTTGTTCTTGTCATTGAAATATTTTCATAAGATCTTGTGTGCCTAAATATGTATGTACACAYGTAGCTTGAAATATTATTGAAAAACGTTCTGATGCCAGGCATGTATGAGCCTTTCGATTACACTTAGACATTATCGAAACAAAGGTTTATCTACTAAAATTAGTTACTGCTATGTGTGTGTTGGCGGCATATTCCTGGAAATCGGAATTAATAAAAGAGTAAATGTCAGTTTTTTCCTAACAATGTTTGTCGACTGTTTTTCTATTTCTTGTAGACACCATTATTATTGTTTTATTTTCGGTAATTTCTATATGAATTTGATTCGTTAGTTTTAAATGGACAGATAGACAACAGGAATGAGTAAACCGACGCCAAACTTTTACATATATATTTTATARAACATCTGATGTTTCCTCTTTGCTGTTATAAGCGGGGTATAAATATACATTTATATGTCTACATATACCGATTGTTTCAAGGTTTTAGATCCAAGGATTGTCCTCGATACAACGCAAACAAAAGTATTTTCAAACATAGYTAAACTATAAATTACTTTCAGTACTCGTGAGTTAGAAGTTAAAAATTGCTGGTCAACATTTGGTAAAGCATTATTTGCCATCAATGCCTGAATTCYCTTTATATGTGTATATTGTATTTATTGGCATTAATTCAAAGGCCAAGTCATCAGCAGCTACTTACCGATAGTTGCCAAAAGCGCGACGATAAAAAATTGAATGGAATTCATGTTGATTCCTTTCCAATTTATCCAGTAATCCCGTGCAATCAGCATAAATCCATTGCGGAGTTAAACACTTTTACTTTTATTTTCCGTTTTTGCCTTGTTTTACTTCCGCCAACTCACACAAATGCAGGGGTTCACACACACATTTAATACAAGACTGMAATTTTTTTATGTTTTTCAAACACACGCGTATGTCTGCTTGTGCGTTTTGTTTACTTAACGCTTTCTGCGCGCCATGTTGGGGGCTTTTGCGTCGTCGGTGATGTCAACATGCGCTCGGCTTAGCAAACAAACACATTCGTGCAAACAGACACTGTTTATCCACATACATATTTATTCGCTTACAACCACCTATTTGTCGCGCATTCACTACCACTTACGTAGGTAGGTGTGTGTAGGCGTGTGCGGCACGACATGTGTTCGTTTCACTTTAATTCTCCTATTTATCCGCACACATTTTGTCACATTTCACTTTGGGACTTTTCTTAAATTTCWCTGCTCGCAATGCGGCTCTTCTTTGCATGACTCAATGAAATTAATTTTCAAATCTCTGTTCCAGAGAAGTACTATAAGTTTCGAAGTTCTTGAATTCAAATTTTATGTCACTTCGTTCACTCAATTAGTTGAAAAAGGGAATTGTTTTAAGTTCTCAGCGCACTATATTCATATCCTTTCATATCCTTTGATACTCCCTTGTAGCATCAATGCTGTAAAAAAATAAAGATAGTTTCAGATGAATAAAATGTCTTTGCATTATCAATATTTAAGATGTGTCTGTCTCGAATTAAAAGAAAATATTCRTAAACATTAAATTAGAAAAGAGAGAAGTACTCGGAATCTGCCTGAATAGTAACATTTTGYTCGTTTAAGCGCTTTCTAATAACTGTCAGCTGAATACAGCCCACGAGTCGATGGAATGGCACAGAGCTGACAATTCTCTGCTTTTATTCTGCGGTGATACTGAAATAAACAGCAATAAAATAATTGTGTTACTTAGCAGTATGTTATTGTGATTGTTTTATGCTTTCTCGACATTCTTTGATTTTATTGTCCTTAATTAAATTCCAATATCGTTTCCCTTTATCATTTGATTCTTTGGCTTCTACCGCAAATACTACTGAAAATCTTTTCCCTCTTTACTAACATATTTTAATTAATTTTTTGGTAGACATTAGACATTTTTGTAAAACTGATAAAGCTATAACAAAATTATCTGAGATATTTTGTTAAAGGTTGCACCTTTTCCTTTGCTCTGAGTGGGAGTATAACTAATTCACGCCTCCTTTATGGCTTTATTCGAAAAACCTTAAAGCGCTACGCAACTTAAAATTGGAACGCAGGTTTTTTTTTTTTTTAATTCGAATTAACATTTTCTCGCGCTTACGTACTTCGTATAATATTATTCTTAAATAGAGATCGCACAGAGCCATCATCCTMAATACTCTAGAGCACTGGTCAGCAAGCCAAATTTCCAAGGTTTAATATTAAAAATCTAATTTTTAAACAAACATCGGGAAAATTTGTCTCATTTTTTGGTAACGCCGATATCGGACCACTATCGCATATAGCTGCCATAAAAACTTAACGATCCGAACATGTACTKGTATGGAAAAGTGCTTATCTTTTAGTGGACGAAATTTGACAGATATTATTAATTACGGCAACGATACAATTTTTGTAAAAGATATTCAGATCTGGTGACTATAGCACGTAGCTGGGGCATACAATCTGATTAATGAAAGTTCAATCCTTGTATTGAAAGTTTTTTTACTTCACGTGTTACCTTCAAGAAATTTGGCATGTGGTATCGTCTACGGCAATGGTGCAATCTCCGAAATTGTAGAGRGTGAAGCACTTTTCTATATCTATAGTGCTTTTTATATTTCGGGTTTAGAGAACGCAAACAAAATTTAATYTTTAAAAATMRATTTACARTTTTTCAAATATTTTTCATTAAGATCTCTACACATTTTTACGGTTCTGAACGAGTTTTCGAAGCACTTTTGCCATTYTCATTGAGGTATCTCAAAAACATGCGCTCTGAACCCATCAACCTTTTCTTCTGATGTCAAAAAACATTAACTTCTTTGTTMATTTTTTTCTAAAGAATATAAAAAGAATTCATGCTGTGCCAAGTCAAGAYTATACGGAGGATAACTCATCAATCGATGTTTTGAGTTCTCAAAAATGCAGTTTTTGCGGTTGATGTGATGAAGAGTGGTAAGTAGTTCGTATTCGGCGATTGGGTTTCCTAATTTCTTGAAAGACGTTGCAACCGATGTTAACATTTGTCTTTCTTCTCAAGGCCTTCAAGGCGATCGGACGTACGGCAGCAGCAATCACCAATTTCAAACATACTATGTACTTATGTGTACTTATATTAAGTGCAAACTGACATATTTTCGGAAAATATTTTCTTACATTGCGATTAGATTCTCATAACCTATCTATTTGGAAGTTTCTGTGATCGTGAGGACATATTTKCTACAAAATTCAAATGAGCCCTGAAATATTGCACAAAGGGAACGTTATTTGATTCACATATATCATATGTGCTATCAAGCATCTGCTGCAAAACACTATCAGCAGTTTGTGCTTTGAAAATACATGCTGTGGCAAATTTTTTTCCCATTATTACGATACAGAGTGTKGAGTATTACTATTATGGACCCACATGGAAGTGTGCAATTTTGAAAATATGTACATATGAATGWCTGCTGTTTTGTATACATTTCACAGAAGCCACTTACTCTCGCCACACGCAATTTATCGAGAGTAATATCGGCAATCAAGTGGCTTCGCCGTCAGCTAGAGACCCACTCGTAGCAACGAGAAACGAAAAACCAACGAATAAAGCGCAAACAGCTATGTAAGTTTAGACAACGGAAACAGACAATATTTGGTAACGGTAAACTAAATACCAACACTCGAGCAGAAGTGCCCAAAGCARAGCCAGCAATCTGAATCTGAATACGTCGAATTGATATGCAAACTAGAAAAGTGGAAGCGCATCAACCAACTCAACGACAGCAGTATTCACCACAGAGCCAATGGCGTAGTCACAGCCACAGAGTTATTCGCAGACCAGCCAAAGCCAAAGCCAAAGCCACACACGCAGTTGGTGTCAGTTAGTTGCCGACTCTTCATTGCTTCATGTATTTCGCTGGAAGGCAGCAATTTGAGTTCTGAAGCGTGGGCTTTGCCTTGTTTTAGTTTTAGTTAATTTTGTTATACCCTGAACAGGGTACGTAACATCCAGAAGCAAACATCGGGGACCCTGTATGTGTGGCAAGTTGAGTTTATTTTGCAATGTCCGTTTGTATATATGCGAATTACTTTCTCATATTTTGAGATATCGATCTGAAATTTTGCACTGTGGATTTCTGACCACTGCAGCCCTTTTTTAACTAAATTTTTTTAGTTTCTCTTTGACTGCGCACTGTGGATTTCTGACCGCTACAGCAWGTAGCTGCCAGACAAACTGAACAAYCAAAATTAAGCTCTTATATGAAGAACTCTTTTTCTTGAAAAACGATCATCCTGAAAATTGCCATGAATTATTGCTCAAAGCAGCAGTACTAAGAATATYCTTTGTACGAAACATAGAGATGCTATACAAACTGCTCGATTCAAATCTTTGGTATTTGTGAAAAGTATTATARTTTTGGTGCAACCGCAGTTAACATTTTACATCGAAGTAGACGTGTCAGTTTTAAATGTTCATAACAAGTGCAATATCTTCAATACATACACATACTATATATTTATRTATACTTAAGATGGCTCAAGAGGCCTTATATGGTCAGTTGTAAACAACAAACAAAAGCGTAAATTATCTCGGGATTGACAAAAGTCGTGTATGGCAAGACGACGTGAAAACCCAGAGCACCCAGCATAGCTATAAGCCAGAAGTACAATCTTCAGATTATAGTTCTTAGTATAAGGGAAATAATTGTAGAATTTAGTATTCTTTACATCTCTTGATTAGAAATTCATGAAATTGAAAGTTTTGAAAATGACTTTAGTTTACAGTCGATTAGCAGCTGTAATGTAAAAGGCTATTTCTTGCAAATGTTGGGTTGTTGAAATCGAATGGATCGGATCCAGTAAGTGATGAAAGTTATATGAGTGATATTCACATGGAAAAGACCAGAARCGATTCTTTTAAATATGGCTCAAGCAGCTCACGACTTCCAGTCTTGGAACAAGTAGCCTCTTGGTAGGTAACAACCATCTGTTTGAAGGCGAGCCCCAGGGTTGTGCGCTGGGTTTGGGACCCGCCACGTAGGGAAACTCGCTCAATGAAAAGATCAAAACAGTCTAGGATGAGAGATCTCCTTTGGATGACGAAGATTGCAAAGCTGACATCACCGCCATCCAAGAAATGCGATGGACGGAACAAGGACTGAGACGAGTAGGTCTAGGTCTGAGGTAGTTGTGGCGTGGTGGGAGAGATACTCGTGAGATCATCWGATCGTGCTTGGCGACTTTAACGGCAGGGTGGGTAAAGAAGGTATCTTYGGCACAATGGTCGGTGATAATTTAGTRGTAATCAAGTAATTCGMATATATAAGYCCTTAGACATTATTGTTGCAAAATTGTATTCAATATACGAGTATTCAATGTATATAAAAAAATCTGGTAGGTGCTTCGATTTAAAAACATAATCCATTCTTATTTCTCGAAAATATTTTTTTTTTTTCGAAAGCCAGTTTGTCGACATCAAAGCGCTCCGTATTGGTGTCTTTATACGTTAAGGCCGCTGATAAAGTCAAACATCATTACCCACAGTGTTTCGTTTGGAAGTGTCTTTTTTATACTCTTGCAACATATTGTCACAGAATATAATAACTTTGTACACCTAAAACTAATCAGGATGAAGAGTATCTTGAGGAACCCATGTTACATTGTGAAAATGGACGGAATTGGACTTCAAACGCGTCTACTTCTCATTAGCATAATTTTAACTCCCATCTAATTTTTTCCCTTTCCAGTCCATAAGTGAAACTCCATGAAAATATTTGGATAAAACTTTGCACATATAGTGCCATATCTCAAATCTAAACATTTGCAAAATCGAACGTTTTTGAAAAAAAAAAAAACGGAAAATATCTCTTTGAAAATCGTACATTGCAATAAAAAAGCAGTCGAAAATAGTAATTAAATTCCCCCGGTAAATCATATTTCTAAATAATGTATTTTGCTAAGTTTGTCTGTCTCTATTTAATCACTATACACTAACTACATAAGTCGGCACACCTCAGTGAAGTGTTGCGATTTCTACAATGGATAAAAATGTCGAACAAAAAATGTGTCTCAATTTTTGTATTTCTAACCAAATTTTGTATGCGGATTTCTTGGAATGTTAGAAAACGC